TTATATTTTGTCGTTTTGAAGCATTTGAGATAATAATATATCTTTTTTCATTGAAAAGTTTAATTTGAAAAATGGAAAAACAAAATAGAAGAACGAATTTGACCCATTTTCTTAAAGGGGAAAACAGAATAAAAGAAAATTTAAGACATCTTTCACATTAAAAGTGATTTTAAAGAACGCAACGTTACTAAAAAAAAAAAGATTAGATTAAAAACGAAATTCCAAATAAAGTACATTATTTTATTATTAGAAAGTTTTAAAATTTTTGAGCACGCATCATTATTGATCAAACAAGAATCGAATCACATGTTGGATAATAAATCATTTTTTTGGTTTAATGCCTAATGATAAATGTCGCAGATTACAGAACACAAACACGGGCTTAGACTCGCCCCCGGTTTTTGAGGGGTTGGCAATAACACGTGTGAAATTGAATTGTGTAAGGGTGTCATTACACGATTGTAATCGAGTTTTTTCCCCGAAGTGAAGTAGTGGAAAAGTGAACGAGACGAAGTTGAGTTTAATGAATGGAGCACCTGTTTTGGTCTCGAGGGATGCCGAGATAATCCCTTAAACGACTGGATATTTTATCAAAGAGGGTTGGGGGACAATTAGAACCCACGCCAGCTGAAAATTGAGCGAAAAATCGGCGATTCGTTCACCTGTTGAAGTTAATTAGAGGATGAGGATTGATAAATTGATTATTTGGACGACAAGTTGTGCTGCTTCGTGCTATGCGCCATTAATAATAAAAGACAAGATTGAATTCATATCGTAAAATGCACGACAAATTTTGCCTTATTTTTACTATAAACTAATTTTACGAGTTATTTAAGCCCGGAAAATGGGGATGAAACACTGCCTTGTTTATGTATAACAAAACATGCAATACTAAAAATTAATTAATTTTGTAAAATGAAATTCTATTATATTACATACCAGGTGAATAAAAAGTATGGAACCAAACGTTTTTTGCTTAAACTATTTATTTCTTGAAAAAACTAATTGATGAGTGATAAAGTACTATAAAAATGTG